CATAGGGCCTATTTTGAGGGACAGGGTGCCGACGTGCCAATGGAAAATCCATGGGGCGGGAGTCTTCAAAGGTGAGTGCTATATGCTTCCCTCTCCCCATCCCAACTGACACACATGTGCACACATGCACGTGCACACATACACATACCTATGCGCACACATACACATACAAGTTGTACCCTTTAGCCGTCCTTCCCAACTGTTGGGCCCTTTCATCCCTGTAACAACCTGGAAAATGGATGAGGAACTTGAAGTGCAAAGCTTGGCCTGTATCTCAGTGGGTAGAATGTTTACCTCACATAGAAGAAGTCCTGGGTTCCATCCCCAGCACTGCATAAACTGCATATGGTAGCACATGCCTGTAACCAGCCCTTGGGAGGTGTGGGCAGGAGGGAGATTCAGAAGTTCAAGGTCATCGTTTCCTACATTGAGAGTTTAAGTCAAGGGTAAATGAGACCTTGACTAAAAAACAACCCAAAACACAAAATTCAAGGTTGCACAGCTAGGAAGAAGGTGGGATGGTGACCCTCAGGCCAGTGCTGTTTTTCAGAGTTTGCCCTCCTTATTGAGTCAGCCAACCTACTGCTTTCTGGAGAGCCAAAGGCTCTGAGATGGGAACAATAGAGATGCACTCTAGGTTGGATGGGTAGGGACCAAGTATGACACCTGGGAAGAAATCCCACTGGAAACTCCTCCGTTGGTTCTGAGGCTCCTTGCCTGGCTGTAGGAAAGGCAACTTCTGCAAGGAGCCCAACTCCCACCCATCTATGACCACCTGATCCCCCTCTGCCTGAGCCTCCAGAGACTGGTAGTCCCTGCCAAGTTTCCAGGGAACGTGTCAGATAAGGGGCCTGTGCTCATGACTGTCTCCCACTGTCCACTATCTCTGACCCTATTGCCACCACCAGGTGGATAAGAATAGCAACAGCCTGGTAAGGGGCACACACAGGGGCATCACAACTCAGATAAGTCTTCTGTTCCCTCCCCATCAGTGCCAGTCCCACCTGCTGTTTGTCATTCTATGCTCAAAGTCCTACCACACATTGTAAAGCTCCAGGCTCAGCCCCAGCTCCTGCTGCCTTAACAGAGGATCTGGGGGAAGCCATACCACCCATGTGTCTGGGCCTGCCCTCCACAGAGGAGCTGTGTGACCTGGGGCTGGATGCTGTCTCTCTCTGGGCCATAGACAGAGCATAGCGGCACAGCAGTTCCTTAAAGCATGAATGACAGCTGGGTTCTCTCCCCAGGCTAGGGCCCTTCAGTATCCTGATAATCACAGCCATGTCTGGCTTCTAAATGCCTTTGAGAATGCTGACTCTAGCCAGTGAGGATTCAGATGGGGTGAGGGTTCCCATATTGCATGTGGAGGGGTCCCTGGGGTAGATCACAGAATAAAAGTGCAGATCATACTGTCACCTCTGCATGACTCTCCTTGTGACACTCCTGCACGTATACAAGGGTGGCCACGTCACTCTGAGGGAAGAGGCTGTTGTCATGGAACCCACAGTGAGCGTCACTGTGACATGGAAAGGAGGTAGATCCGGGGAGACTTGTCCCTACGTTTCTGAGTCATTGTGAGTGACACCTGGTTGTAATTAAGGTGTCTGAGTCTCCAAGTCCTCTCATCAGCTCTTGCAGCCTGACTCACTACAGGAACCAGCACCCCAGCCCCACCTCCACCCCATTTCAGTTCTAGTTTCTTGCTCTCTTCATGACCTCATTCTCAGATGACCCTCCCCCTTTATCTTCCAGCCTGCCTCCTGTCCCCAAGCCCCCCACCTACTTAAGGGTCCCCAGGGAGGAGGTTGG